ATGGTAAAATATTGGTTATAATTTGTGTTTGCTTAATAAAAGAGCTTAAATGTGGAAGGGATCAGTTTTGTGTGGGTTTAAGAAGGAGAAATGGGCTTTAGATGCACCACATGGGCAGAATCAGAGAGGAAAAACTTTTGAAAGGGAAAAAGGAGGGCTTCCTGAGATAGGAAGATGTGTGCTCTGGGTCCAGAGGAGACTCCACATGTGCCCCTGGGAGGGAATGGCCTGCGAGCAGCTTCCCTGGATGGTAGGAACCACCCACTTCCCTCCAGAGGCCTATACTCATCCTCAGGGGGCTGTGGCCATCCAGTTTGACCAGGGCCTCTGTGGCTGGCAGAGCTCACCACACTTTGCACCCGGGAACTTTACTCAGCCTGTGTGTGTGTGGTGAGGGGCACAGATCCATTCCTCAAGGCTCAGACTTTTACCAGTGGGAGGCGGTTTGGAGGGGACATTTGTGCAGTGGATAACCGCCTGCTGGCAGATTTGCTACTGGGGAGAGTGGAGAAAAGGTTTGAGGACAGGCAAAGAATGGGCTGGGAGTGCCCGCCTGAGCCCCAAGATCACAGCATCAGCCTCCTAAAGCATAGAGGACTACCGATACCACCCTAGGCCTGGCTTTGCCACACAATCACTGAATGAGGTCACCTTCTACTATGGGCCCCATTCTATATCTATGAAATATGGGGGACAGGCTGTATTAGTGATCCCCAAAGCAGACTGGCCCTCACAGCCCCCAGCACAGTTGGTGAAAATACATTCTTGAGCCCATCCTGTACCCAACCCATTCTGTTTCTGTGGGATGGGTACAGAAATTGGGTAATATAACTATACATGTAAACATACCTATGGTTACAGTATTGTGTATTACAAAATATAGTAACCTTATAAAAGACAGGAACAAAGAAGAAAATATTTCAACAGTAGACACCTGTATTTTAAAAAGTTCCCTAGCAGCTGAACTGTCTGCAAGTGGGGAACCCTGGGAGGACACAACTCAGACTCATCCAGCTCTGCCTTCTCCTACACCCTCATTCTCTTTCAACGAAGAAAAAGGGAGACATTTGCTTTTATCCCTGTCTGTTTGCACAGAGTTGCTAACAGATGCCACATTCAAGGCCATCCTTGACATACCTCACTCTCTCGCCATACACCAGGGCTGTTCCCCTGACCCTTCCAGTTTTATGTCCTACAATACAGCAAGTGAGGGTCCATACTCTCCTGCCTCCCTGTGCTCCCCCCGTTCCAGCTCCTTCTCCAGATGTGAGGTGACCTTTGAAACCAATTCAATGCAACCGCTTCCCAGAAGCTTTTCCCTCTATCAGCATATCACCTACTTTGAAGCAACTCAGCACACTGCCACTCTCTTTGGCTCACTGGCATCTCTATTACCTAGTATATAGTAGATGCTCAGCAAATCCTTGAAGAATGAACAAAGCCCTCTTGGAAAAGACCTGAGGACGGCCTGTCAGTAATCACAGTGGGCCTAGAACACAGAGCTCAGGATGCCAGTCCCCAGATATGTGGGTCCTCGGGCACCTTACTTGTTATACAGCACAATGTCCGGCTTCCAGATCTTCTGTGCAGGTACATGCATAAACTCCACCCCATCGTAGTCTGAGGGGTTCCACTTCAGCTTGTAGTCATTCCAGATCTGGGGGGAAGGGGCAGAGAGGAAAGAAGAGACAGCAGAAAGACCAGCCTGATTTATTGCTCTTGATACTATATCTTGGTAACTCCCCACCTCAGCCACAGGTTCCTGAGCCCCCTGCATGTTGCAGACCACACAAGCCCAGCTCCTTGTGTGTGTGTGTAGCAGGGAAGATAGCCCTGGGCTCAGTCTGTAAGTTGCTTCCTGCTCTAGGAGAACCATGCCTCCATGACTGTGGGTGATCCCCGCCCCTCATCAATCAAATAGGGACCATTGATTGGTGTTTTCTCCAGTCATTCCAATGCCAAGTCCAGCTTCCTGGACTTCTACCACCAGATCTAGGTCCATGCATTAAGTTTCAGCTGCTCTCTTTCAGACAAATCCTTGACCAAGCTCCCATAAAAAAGAAGCTCTCCAACTCTGAAAGTTTCTCTCTCTTTTTTTTTTTTTTTTGGTGTTGTGGGGGGTTACTGAGGATTGAACTCGGGCACTGGACCACTGAGCCACATCCCTAGCCCTATTTTTTGTATTTTATTTAGAGACAGGTCTCACTGAGTTGTTTAGTGCCTCGCCATTGCTGAGACTGGCTTTAAAGTTGCAATCCTCCTGTCTCAGCCTCCTGAGCTGCTGGGATTACAGGTGTGCAGCACTGTGCCCAGCTTGAAAGGTTCTTGAGGAGAGAGCCATGATCATATTGAGTCTAGGAAGGGATGGGAGCAGAGCACTAGATGAGAGAGGACATGCTATGGCTGCAGAGGGAATATGTCCTGGAGTGTAGGGTGGGGACACTGTGTCTACTGTCAGCCTCTTGTGGATGAAGGCTGTGTGAGCAGGATGCTCAGCTGGCTGAGCTGGCAGAAGGGTCACCATCAGGCCAATGGACAATTATGTCTCTCAGCAGGTCTTAAGCAAAGCTTCCCTGGGGAAGCTATGAGGAAGCCAATTCTATTGCCTCAATCGGAACAAGAAAATACAGAGACCCTACTCCTATTCTATTAGTGATGCAAGAGAATCTGATTCTGACTTAAGGATGAGTTTTGGCAAAGAGGAAAGGAAGGAGATGGTCTTATGCTACCAAGAATTGGGGGCCAGGTCTATCTCATTTGGTTGTGCGACTCTGGAGAGGTCTCTCTCTCTAAGCTGCAGACTGTCCATCTGTGACTCAAGGGGCAAGGCCCTGTTGTCCTTCCAGGTGGACTTCAGATCAGTGCATGTGCATGTGATCCAGGAGTGAAGCCCAGTCTGTGGGGTCCTTTTTGGTCCACGGACAGCAATTAAAGAAGTCACCACCAGGGGGCAGAAGTGCACTAAGCCTGGTCACTTACTTGCTTGAGCCACAGGTTGGTCTCCATGATCTGGTTTACTTCATCCTTGAAAAGGAGATTAAAGTAGACATAAATGACAAAAACAAGGCTCCTTCTGGGAAAAGCTCCTCCAGAAGCCCTGTACCCCGTGGCCACAGATTGTGGCTCCAGCACTCACCACCTTCACCAGCTGAGACATGGACACTTCAAACTGGATGACGACTGGGTCAGACACATTGGCCACAGGCCGGATGATCTCGTTGTAATCTTCAAAGAGGCGCTCAAACAGGCGATGCTCAGCCTCTGAGCTACTGGCCACTAAGGAAAACAGCCCTGTCAGTCCCTGGGGAAATTACTACTTATCTCTCCCACGAGGGACATCACCCACTGATAACCTCTGGGGTACTCTATGAACCCCAGACTTCCATTGCTTCCTCCAATGACAGACTGGGAAACTGAAGCCCAAGAGAGACAGGGATTCCACCATGTCACACAATTTGGTGGTAATAAGCCTGGGCTCTGACGTTGGACAAAACTGGTGCAAATCTTAACAAACCACTGTGAGCTGTGTGAACTTAGCCTAGTAGCTTAACCTCTTTGAGCCTCGGTTTCTTTATGTGTCAAAGATTATAAATGTATTCACATCAAAGGATTGTGAGGAGTGATGTGCTTAGTGGCATGTGGTAAAAGCTCAAGAGCTATAAATTATCCTTACAGGGCAGGCATGTGGTGCAAATGCTCTTGGAAAGATTCCCTGTCCAACCCCTGGGGCAGGGAGGCTGGGGGTCACCCAGGCTCAGGTGTCCTGCTTCTAAGCCTAGGAGACTGCATCCCAGATCTGGGAGTCCCCCTTGTCCCACTCAGGATCGTGTAGAGATTTGGCCACAGCCTTCTTGGAAGGCATCCACCTGTCTCTCATGATCTCAGAGTGGGACCTCCGGTTCCTGCCCATGCTGTCTTCATATCCTGCTAGAAGTCCCTTATTTCTCCGAAGCCCTGAGCAATCCCTTTTGTTCATAAGCCACACCCCAGCATAGTTGAGGCATCTTGGGTCAGCTGCAGCCCACTTACAGATCTGGGGGCAAACTGGGGAGGAGGGAAGGGAATCTGACCCAAATTTTTCAGTCCCTGAAATGGGATTTTGCCTGATTAGCTGGACACCCCAACAAAGGAGGTGCCCCAGGCAGGAGCTCCGTTGAGCGCATAAGGCGCTCTGAGTAGTGGAGACTTCCGCAACGAGGGTCAGAAACAGCCCTATGCAGCACAGCCACAATGCCCCAAGAACCCACGGGCTGGACCCCAAGGGACGTCTTGCAGCCTTGCAGAGTCCCAGCCAACCCAGGCCTCCAGAAGAGCGGAGAGTCAGGGTCGGCTTCGTCCCAACAGGCTCCTCTAGAGCCTCGGCAGCCGGCGGGGAGGCGCGCTCCCCGGTTGAGGGTCAAGGTGACGCGACCAGGACCACGGACTAGAGTCTGGCGTGCCAGATCCGGCCCCGGTCCCGAAACGACTCTCGCCTCCCCGAGGTGGCCTTGGAGAAGTCCGTATTCCTCTCTGGCCACCGTTTCCCAACTAGTGGTAAAAAGAGGCAATGGACGGGATCAGATGCTGGAACCGGAGCGGAAAACGAAGAAGGCATCCCGCGTCCCTGAGTGGCCTGCGGGTCCCCGGCTAGGGCGTCCCCACCCTGGGTACCGGACCCTCCAGCGAAGCGCTCCTAGGGCCGCCTTCCCTCGGGACCCCGCACGCCGCGCCCGTACCTGGCAGCAGCAGTAGCAGCAGCAGCAGCTGCGGTGGCGGCGAGAGCCGGCGGGTGCCCATGGCGCGTCGGCTCGGCCCCGCTCTCCGGGACCGCGCGGACGGGGCGGGCGGACGCGAATGGTCAGGAGCAGGTGCGGCCGACGTGGATGCTGAGGTCTTTCCGCGCAGCTCCGAGTGCAGACGGCGGACTCAGAGCCGTGCGGGCGCGGGGATGCGCGAGGCTCTTCCCTCTGGGCGGCCTTGGGGCTCCGGAGTGAGCGAATCACCCGGAGAGAAGCGTCGCGAGCCCCACGCGGGGCGGGGCGAGTGCCGGAGGTGGGCTCGCGCGGGTGGGGAGAGGGCTGCGGGTCCCCAGTCCCTGAGCCCTGCGGCCTCCTCCCGGGCCCTGGGCAACCCTACGGACCGCTCGACGCCCTACCAGATAGAAGCGGGCACTGTCAGCCTCCAGGGAGGAGAAGGGGCCAATCCCTGTCCCTGTCGCTGGCTTCCGGGGCGTGTGCAGCTACCGCAGGGGACTGGGGACCGCTAGGCTAGAAGGTCGTCTCTATAAAGAACGTCCAGCTCACCCTCAAAACGAGCCTCCCGTATTTGATGTTCTTAAGTAATTGTTAAATATTTTATGCGTGATACGTGTGTGTGTGTGTGTGTGTGTGTGTGTGTGTAGTTTAGGAGGGGGATGGGTAGGTTGGAGTCAGTTAAAACAATATTGGCGATGAGTTGTGGATGATGGAATCTGGAATCTGGTTATACTGTTCTCTCTACTTTAGAACATGTTTGAAATGTTCCTTAATTTAAAAAAAAAAGTATAACAAAAAGAAAAGAAATAAAAAATGAGGTTTGGAGCCATCCACGAGGGCACCTGGCTTCCCACTCTTCCCAATCTGTAGATTTCCCTCTTCTCTTACTACCATTTGCAGTCCTGGGTGTCCCATGGATGCACAGTGACCAGGCAGATGCCCTGGGGTCCCTTGTCTCTCTGGCCACCCACCAGGCATGATAGGGCACCTGAAGTCTTTCCTGATGTAAACAGAGGAGGAAGGTTAACCTTCCTTGCCGGTTCTCTTTTCCTGCTTCAGCAAATGGTGAGTCACCTTCATTTCTTCTGGAAGGGGCTACTATCCACACTTAAAGCAAACAAAAGGAGACAATTTGTGGGATCCAGAAAATGTTTGGAAGACTTGAGGTCCACCTCTAAGGCCCCATTCTCATTCTGCTAGCAAAAGGATCTTCATTTGGAAAATATGGCAAAATCGCATATTCAACATTAAACAGTAATAGGTGGGTATGAGGGATCTTCTTGGGAATAACAGAGATGTTCTAAAACTGGATTATGGTGATAAATGTAATAAAATTCATTAAATTGTACACTATAAAAATGGGTGAATTTATGGTATGTTAAATTATGCCTCAATAAAGTTATTTTTAAATTCAGCAGTAAGAACACTACAACCCAATTTTAAAAATGAGCAAAGGCAGTAAACATTCACCAAAGAGGATATACAGAAGGCAAAAAAGCACATAAAATGATGTTCAACACCACTCGCCATTAGAGAAATAGATTAAAATCAGGATGATATATCTGCTAGGATGGCTAAAAGAAAAACAAATGCTGTCAATACCAAGTCAGAAAAGGATACAGAACAACTGCCTTGCTCACACTTTGCTGGTGAGATTGTGAAATAGTACAGCTACTCCAGAGAACCACTTGACAGTTTCTTTTAATGTTGAAACACATAATCCAGCAATCACACTGCTGAGTTTTTATCTGGAGAAATGAAAACTTTTGCTCACACCCATCCTACATGTGATGTATGTGACAGCTCTATTCATAATTGCCCCAAATTGGAAACAGCTTCAATGTGCTTCAACATCCATAGGATAAAGTACTGCTTGGCATATACACTCAGCAACCTGAATGAATCTCAAAGGTATTATGCTAACCAAAGAAAACAATCTCCAGAGGCTACATACTGTATGATTCCAGTTAAACAGCATTCTCAAAGACACTGAACAATAGTTATAGAAAGAAGGTAGGTGGTTCCCTGGGGTTGGAAGTGAGGTTTGGAGCCATCCACGAGGCTATAAGGAAATGGTAGGGGAAGTTCTTTTGGGTGACAGATCTTTCCTGTGTCCTGATAGTAGTGGTGGTTACACAGATCTATACCTGTTATAATTTGTAGAATTTTTTTAAAAATACTTATTTTTTAGTTGTAGGTGGACACTATATCTTTATTTCATTTTTATGCAGTGCTGAGGATCAAACCCAGTGCCTCATGCATGCTAGCAAGCACTCTACCACTGAGCCACAACTCCAGCCCATAATTCATAGATTATATATTTAAAATGTCATTTTATTGTATAGTAATTTAAAAAATGGAATTTTTAAGTGTTCTCCATTGCACAAATATTCTGAGTGTCTACAACTTGCCAGGCACTGTGGGAAAGACAGTATGCCGGGCGGTGGGAGGGGGATCCATCAGCATGTGAGGGATACAGACCCAAACCAGCCATGATATGAAAGTGGAAAGTGGCCAGAGAGCCATGAGCAAGAGGGCCATTCCTTTCAGGGATGGGGACCAAGGACAGCTGCTTGAAGGAGGAGCAGGAGCCATTCATTCATTCAACAAACATTTATTTCACACCTGCTGTGTGCCAAGCTCAGTCTCAGACCTGGAGCAAACCTGAAGGAGCAAACCCTGCTCTCATGGAGCCCACACTGGTGGTGAGATGTGGACCATAAACATGCTGCCAAATAACTGCACATACTGAGGGGGGCTCGAGGATGGTGATAGGGTAATGTGGTCACTGGGGAGGCTACTTTGAAATGGGAACAGTCTTTAGATGATATTGGAGCAGAGGACCATGGTAGCAGAGCCCTGATTGATGACACCATGGGAAGAGCTTGGGAAGCACAGGGGTGGGGAAGAAGGTTCAGTAGATGCAAAGGCTCTGAGTTGGGAAGGATCTAGAAGCATGTGGAAGACTGAAAGAAGGCTAGTGAGCCTGGAGGACAAGAGAGGATGGAGACAGCTGGGGGTGGAGAGATAGGCTGGGATGTGGGCAAGATGCCTGGCACATAGTAGGTGCTGTTAGTATGCCTGGTGCATGGAAGGAAGATAGGCTGGAATTAAACTGTCTGAAGCCCCCTCCTGTTGGGCTTCCTCGGAGGCATTCAGAATGGACAGCGCAGGACCCCATCCTTGCCCTCTGGCAGCTGTGGCTGCTTTGATGGATTGTTAGCTGATGGTCAGATGTTTATTTAGGGCCTCAACAGCTGTGACCCAGAAGGAAGCAGTGAACTGTCCACCTGGCTGCTCACATCATCTCACCCCACAGCCCAGGGTGCTCTTGGACATGATGGGCAGTCTAGGGCACCTCAGAAGGTGGGTGGGTCAGGAAGAGGGGAGGGAGGAAGAGCCCCACAGTGCCCAGGATGCATACAAACACGAATACCCACAGGAATAGCCGGTCGACCACCATGGCCACATATTTCCAGTCCTCAATGACCTGCAGATAGATAGAAGGGCTGGTTACAGGTGCAGAAAAAC